GCTCTATGTCAAAAATTGTATGAATTAAATAAAAAATGATTTGCTGTCAACTTAGAATTGGGGGAAATGTTTGTCAAGCCATAAGAAAGCTATATTTGCTAAAAAATTTGTATAATTTTTTTGAATGTTTGTTTTAAATTCACATGTACTATATGACTAGTACTATATATTAAAAATGCAAAAACTTCCATTTGTGGCCCTTTCTTACCCATAGATAACAATGAAGGTTAGAGTATACACATAGAAAATAATTCATTTTGGCCATTAGTAAATTCAATTAGTAGTCTCCATTATATTTCTATTATAGAGAACACTATAGCATTGAAAATATAATCTAATTATTAATGATTAATAATTTATAATCTGTAAATGAGTAATAAAAATATAAAATAAATAATTAAACATTACCTTCACTATTAGGGTTCAGAGAAAAAAAGCAATACAAAAAGCTATATGCATTAAAACAAAGAAAAATTATGTATATAATTATCAAAACAATACTCAGTTTATTGTCAATATTTCAATTTAGAAAGAGACACGTAAATAGCTATACACACTTATATATATAGCTTATAAAGAGTAATAAGTACTCTTTCAAAGTCTAATTATTGAAACTTTTTATAAACTTTTATAATAATATACATTTATAGGAAAAAAATTAAGATGTCTAGGTTGGTTATATTTAGAAAGTGAAGATTTATATAAGCAAGCCATAATATGGTGCTATGCATGATTAAAAAAAGGAAGATGATAGTTGAACATCAATATAAAGTTTAAAGGGGAGCACTTCATATAGAAGACCTTACTAATGCTTGTGTAGATCGGTGTCATAATGTTTAAATCTGAAAACCTATCCATTAGACACAAAAATCATGAAGTCACCACCAATATTTTTTTATCTAGGTGTGATTGGCTATCTAAATGAATCTATACTTTTTAAGGTTGGCATAGGCTTAAATAAAAAGTTCCTAAAAAGAATAGATTTTGTTCAACATCAATATAACTAAATTTGGGAGTCAGTTACATGTAGGGAAGGTTTTAACATTCTATTATGCCCAAAATTGATACCTCAGTAATCACATGTTATCTTATTTAAACCTCAATTAAAGATGATTTTTTTCATGTTTATTTTGATATTTAAATATTAAAAAAAAAGTCTTCACTAAAAAAAAAACTTTTCTCACCTTAAGAGTATTCAAGACAAACTTGTTTTCACTTGAAGAAACTCTATTGTCAGATTTATTAAATATCTTATCAAAAATCAAATCTCAATTTCTTTTATTTATTTATACAACATTGTCATACAAAAATTCTATCAAAATAATATCAAAGAAAAACTATGCAATCAAAACATGCAAAATAGGACATGCGAATGTCATATCATATAAAAATCCTACCAAAAATCATGTAAAGATATCATGTAAATAAATATTATTCCAATTAAAAAATATGCCAAAAATCATGTAATAAATATAAAAAAAATCATACAATGAATCCTGAAAAAACATCATAATAAATTATACAAAAATAACCAAGCAAAAACATCATGCAAATATAATAATCATGTAAAAATCAAAATAAAAGCATGCAATTAAATATTATAAAAACCATGCAAAAATCAAAAAAGAAAATCATACTAAAAAACTAGAACATGCAAATTATAAATGTCTTAACAAAGTTTTTTTTTTTTCTTATCCTTTTTTAATTCAATCAACAATAAAAATAAAAATAAAAATAAATAATTAAATAAAAGTGAAAAGGAAAGAAGAAACCTGTGATCAAGTCAAGTTTAAATAGGTCGACGCACAGATCCACTCCAAGTCAAAGTGCGGATCTTAAGGGTGTAAAACGATGTCGTTTTGAGCTTATATAAAAATAATTCCAGCCTTTTTCTTTTGACTGGCTCTTTTCCCTCTTTCTCTCTAGCTTTGGTTTTCTCATCCTTGTCTTTAAAACCCACCATGAAATTTAAATAATTTCTAGATTTCGACTACTAATTCCAATATTTGATGCCAAAAAATTCAACCAATGTAAAAAAATTTAACATTTTTCCCAAATTTTTCTAGAACCTAGCCACAAAATCCCTTTGACCATCGTAAATCCATCGAAAATTTCAAGTAAAACCCAGAATAAATATAGAATTCCAAAAAAAATCCTAGAAAAACTAAAATTCTAATCCAACTCCAAAAATCAAGAAAATACCAAACTAAATTTCCAAAAATCAATCACGGAAACATCAAAAGATTAAATCAAATTTTTGAAAGACATAATCAAAACCCATAATAAAATTTTAATACTCTGATTACTAGAATTTTTTGCTCTTTGCTTATTGCTTCTTATCCCACAATCACAAATTGGGAGTCCCTTTATAGGCATTGAGTCTTATTTCAATTTGAAAAAATATAACTCTCCTGAATCTAGGATTTTTATTAAAATTTTATTCTTTGTGTAATTTTTATTTTTTTTTCAATAGATTGGGATTCAAGATTTTCCTTAGGCAATTTAATATTGAATCTATAGCTTTCCTTTTGCAAAACAAAATCCCACATTTTTTTGGTTTTTTGACTCTTTTTTTTATTTTGATGGGTTGACTAAAAGAACAAGAATAATAAAACTAAAATTTAACTTAAAAATTAAACTAAAAATAAAATTTTGGGCTCCTAATCTTTGGACCAAAATTTATTTTTCCAATTAAGACTTAATTTACAACCTAAAGCGCATTTTAATCACAGAAATTTTTTGAGACAAGATGGAATGGTTACATCGAAAATATAAAGTTGCTAAGGAAATATTTACCAAGTTAAGCAGTTTCAAGCGTGTTGTAACCTATGTATATACATCCTTTAGAAAAAAATCCATTTTTGGAAATTTTGCCAATGTTGAAGAATCTTCTACAAAGTAAAAGGGGGTCATTAAGAAGATTTGCTACCAATCATTCAAAAATTTGAAAAATCATTAGCTATCAAAAGAAACTCACTCAAATATGATTCTAGCAGAGAAAAGTCTTGGGCTTCTGATCCAAATCACTCAAAGTTCTATCAACTTTCCAAAAATGGAAGCTTGGAAAGCTATATAAACAAATAAAAGTCATGCAAAAAATGAACATGCAAAAATTCATTCTTTGTGTAAGCACATACTTTGTTGGCCTTGGTAATGGATTTAGCCTTTCAAGACCAGTTATCTTTTCATTCATATCAATTCACTGTATATCTATTGTCTTTCCTATGACTAAAGCCCAAAAAATGAAATAGTATTTAACAAAGTAAAGATGAAAGCCAAGCTTGAAGGTGCAGAAAAATACATGTACCCTTTATCGAACACTTAACACATCAATGAAATAAGTTAGATTACTCAATCTTTAAGTGACATTCATTGAAAACATCTAGCATCATATGATAAAAAAGTTCTCTTCTCAAGCTAGTAACAATGGCTTGAGGTGGCAATAATTAATTACAACTAAATAAAAACTATCAATTATAGAAAATATGTTTAACATACAAATAGGACAAATTTTATTATTGTATTATATTTTGAGTGAATGATAATAGGTACACTATGTAGATAAACCAATTGAGAAAATTAAAGATATATATTAGATAGAGCAAATTACATCTATTATCCACGCAAACTCACCTGCTTCTTCATGATCTTTCTTTATAGTGCTTTACATTAAAAAATGCAATAATGAATTTTTTTTATGCTACAATAAAAGCATAAAAAAATTTTTAAAAATAAACTAATGAAATTGAAAAATAAGAAAACAAAAAGCTTAGGCTAAAAAAAGAAAAGGTCATTTTTATTTCATTTTCAATCATTGAGCAATCATATCTTCTTAATTCACTGGCCAAAAATTCCTAAAATTCTACAAACTAAAATTAAAAAATTTGGAATTAAAAAATCACCATATGCTATGGATGAATTAGAGAATAAAATAAGAAAAAAATAAATAAATGGATATTAAAATAAATGTGGTTATATTCTTTGATACACTAGAATAAATAAATGTTACTATCTCTACAATCTGTGTTCTTTGATTTTACTCATAATCAAGATTTTTAAGAAAAAGATTGAATGGGAAAGAAAATAAAGAAGAGAAAAAATTAAAAAAAAAATGAATGAAAAGTAATACGAAGGCGATTGAAATTTTATTTTGATGTGGAAAGAAATGAGACCGGAAGGATAAAAAAAATAGAAAGAAAAGCAATGAAAAAGCTGAGTAAACTTGAATGAAAAGGTGAAATGATGGATTAGGTGTAAGAGATATGAGCAGGACATTGGATAAAAAAAAAAAGACTTGTGGATGACTTAAGTAATGGTCATTTTTTTTTTTTTAAATATAGAGTATGGATTTAATTTGGTGTAGGAAGAAAGAATATAGAAAAGCAACGAGAAGAAGGAATTTTTGGTGTGGAAAAGTCAAAAAATGTTTTGATTGGTTTTGATTGGACAGCGAAAGAAAGTAAAGAAAAAAAAAAAGAAAGAGAAAAAAATTGTTGACTTTTAAGACAGTGGTGTGTAAGAAATATTAAAGATATAGACAAACACCCAGAAAGCAACTTTTCTATCTCCTAATTTAATCTGAAATTTTTGTTTTTTTGGACGTGAAAGAAGTGTCCAATAAATTAGAGAAAAAAAAGAGCAGGACAGTTTTAATTGTGTTTATAGATGTTGAGTTTTTTTGTTATTTATATGGTAATTAATTTTATTTATTCATTCAAATTTATATTGAATTTAGATTTCAACAATTTAATTATAGTTGTTTTTTAGTTCGTAATTATATTTTTATTAAAATAATATTAAATTTTGATTTTTAAATTTCAATTTTTTCATACTCCAAAAATTAATCTCAAATTTCTTAATAAAAAGAATTTTACTTAAACTTTTTGAGGAAATAATTTAATTACTTAACCTTTTCCCTTTGTGTAATTGAAGTAAACATCACTTATTTTACTTTTTTTTTTGTCCTTCGAAAGAAGGCTTCGCTCATTTAAATCCACTTATTGGGTAACCAACCTGGAAGAAATCAAATAACAAAGGGGGGAAAGTGTTGATCGATTGATCTGAATTGCTTAATGCGAACTCAAGGTGTAATAATGCAAATACCATTCCAATTTCAAACAAAAAATGGGTAATCATCAACTTTTTCCCAAGTGGAAAGACAACTCTAAAGCTTTAAACCTCCAGGAAAATGGAAACAATAGAAGATGATACAATTACTTCACCAGCAGTATGCTCTTCATAGTTTGCAGCCAAAACTTTTTACGTTTTTGAAGTGCCACCGTGATCCCTCTCGACATGCTCTACAAGGGCCACTGGGTCACGAAATCCTTTACGACACTTGGGGCAGACATCAATAGACGTCTTAAAGACTCGAGACTGGTTGTTCCTTTCGTGTACCTTCTCCACATGCTCCACCAATGTTGTAACTGAAGAAAATTTTGCTCCACATCGTGGGCACTCCTCCACTTGCCCTGCACTCCCACTGTTGCTGCTGCTGCTGCTGCTACTACTGCTACTCAACCCCACTCCATCCCTTGCAATTTGCCATTTTTGACTAATTTCACTACTCAATTTTGTCATGCTTGCTTCAGCTGAGGCTCGAACACTTGAAGCTGCATTAAGAAAGCTTGTTGCCCACTTAGATGAGGATGTGGCAGGAGCTCCGTTGGGTTTTGATTCTTCTTTTCTACTCAGGCTTAAAAGACCCATAAACGGAAAACCTGAGTCAGGTTTCTTAGGTCCAGGACATTTGTGGTCAGGCCCAAAACGGTGCTTTAAGCAATGGTCTATGGTGCAGTCCCTGCACTTGATAGTGTTTGAGAATGTCAAGACTTCCCTGCAGCCAGGAGCTGGGCATTTTTTCTTCTTTGTGACTTTGTCATAATTTGATGGATCACATTCAGTATTAACATGTGTCTCCCAAGTGATGTTTGGATCTTCATCAGGGATCAAATGAACTCCTTTAGCACATAGCGGACAAATAACAACAGTAACATCTTTTTTATCAGCTTTTGGACAGTGATGTTTAATGTAGCTTCGATGTTCCAGGCAGTAGACCTGTTGAAAGATTTGTTATATTCCATTGGAATAAAAAGGAGAAATTTCACCAAAAGAATTTAACAAAGTAACCGGTTGGACAACAACAATCCATTACACAAGAAACTATTTAATGAAAGATTCAAGCTTTTGCCTGATATAAATTATTTGAAAGTTCTGATCCTAAAGTCCAACATATTCTAATAACATAACCAGAGAAAACTACAGAGCAATCAAAGAACATAAGCAGAGCTACAATGCATGAGCACTGTGGTTCTCAGCTTATCTCAGCAAAGATATTATCATAATAGCTTATCATTGAAGACTAATAGATTAGACTCTCAACCAATAGTATTGAGACTATATGAAGTTTAGGTCAATCTCTAAAGTTCATTTGATTGTAGCTTTTTATGAGCAAAATGTGTGTTTAGATACAAAAGCAAACGATATTTTTGAAGAATAAAAAGCTAAAAATGCAATTTTCTTCAATTAACAAAATACATTACTTCAATTTTGTATAATACAATACATGATTTCCAGTAATTTCCTCCTCTTTGATCAATTACAATTTTCAGCTTTTACATTTTAGAAACTTTAGAAGAAAAAGGCAAGTAGTAAGAAAAAACAATTAGCAATCAGAATCAGACTAAAACATTGTGTATGAATTAGTTAAAACTAAAACATTCTAATAAAGCCAGTAGAATGTTTGATTCCCTATATCTGATATTAGATGCAGTTTTCAAATGAATCAGGTATTGGTTTATGCCACCACTATTTAAGAAATGACATCCAGCTAGTATGAGATTCAAATCCCAACATAAAAAGTAACATCCAGCAAGTATGAGATTCAAAACCCAGCACCTGCAACCCTTCCTTTACGGCCTCCTTTGTTAAAAGAATGGCAAATTTTAAAAAGTTGGTCTGAATTTTTTTCATACAGGGTCTATAGGTAACAAACAAGCCAATATAAATCTAAAGTATAAAACTGCAATGAATCCAATAAAACCAAGATATCAAAGCTAACCAGGAAAATTTTCAAAGGTCCCAATTTCATTTTCCGAGAACATAAGCTAAACCAAGCTCCCACAGATTGAATAAAAAAGATCCCAGAAAAGGAAAGGAGAAATGAATTGGGGGAACGTACCAGGTGGCAATGATCGCAAGTGAAAGGCAAGAAGTCAATCTGTTTACAATCTTCAACGCTGCAATGCTTTCCAAGATCTGGGAATTCTGGAGTCCCCATTGTAATTCGATTCCCTTCCAAATAAGCAGCAAAATCCGAATGGTTAAAACGAAAAAATAAAAGGCATAAGATCAGGAGGATTGAATTTCTTTTTATGGGGCTATCCGAGATTTGATGTACGATTCGGTCGGGAAGGAAACTTAACTTTCGAATTCCGCGTATCTAGAGAGAAACTAAGGAACGGCGGAATGAAAAGTTGAAAAGACGAGGAAAATAGAACGTAAAAAATCGTTGAAACTTCCTTTTGTCGTCCTTTTTCTTTCAAAAAAAAAAAAAAAGAGAAATATGTATGATTAGAAATTAGCAAATTTTATTTTAAAATATTTTATGACTTTTATGATTTTATTTAAGATAATAATCATTGTTTAACTCATTTAAAAAATCAAGGAAGAAAATAAAATAATATGGAAGGAGTAATTTTTTATATTATTAATATGTATGTGTGTACAAAACAAATATATTTTGGTTCTTATGTGAGTTATTTTTGTAATAAATTCCTTTTAGATTTATGATCATGCATATTTTGGAGATGATTTTTGTACATTTATCATATTAATTAATCAATAAAAATACATACTAAAGTAAATTAGTTAAAATACATGAGTATTTAACTCAATAATAAACAAATTCATATATCCTGTTTTAAAAGAATCGAGTGTTTTTTTTCTCATGTAAAAAAAAAAAATTTACAAGAATAATTAGGGTATCAAAGGTTTATCCATTCAAGAAGCGTTTTTTCAAAAGAGTAAATAACATACAAATTTTAATCTCATTTTGTAATATCATAAGATTCTCCGATGACTATCAAATGTTCGATCCTGTTTTCTCCCATACCTGGAAGAAGAACGATGTACAGAAACTGGTGCAGTTTCCAAGCCAGATTGCATTATTGAACTGAGGCACTAAATTCATCTACAGCTATGATAGTGAAAAGGGTATTTCTTTCTAAAAATTTATTCTCCAGGGTGACCCATAATTGATGTTTTCTTTTATGTAAGACATACCACAAGTATAGGCAAATCCCAGCCACTATTTCCTAATCTCTTTCTCCCACCCTGCATTAACACATGGTGTGCTCAGGTTCAGGGCCTTGCTCTTTGAAGGGTCTCAAGAAAAAGGTCTCCTCGGTCAGGTGACTCTTTTAGCTGTTTCATTTTCATGCCTGTCTATATCTTCTGCAAATTGACAAACTAGCCAACTGGTCAGGGCCTCGTAGCAGGACCAAGAGGAGCGAGACTTTGAGAAGGGAAGTAAAATTGTAGAGTTCTTACTTCTAAACAGGGACAAGAAAATAGCAAACAACTAGGGACAAACTGGGAAAGTTCCAAAAACCTAAAATACATTTCATCTTGGGAGTCACATTAATTGACATTAACTTGTGATACCAGTAAGCACAAATTGGGAAGAGAATTAAAAGATCCTTCACTAGGGTTGCAGCACAGATGAATTCAAGACACCAGTCACACCAATGTCATGGTTTGAAGTACCCTTCTAAATTTAGTTTCTAGCAGGCAATCCTGTTTTACACCTCAAAAAGCTCTCCAATTTGAATAAAATATATATTTTTTATGAGACCTCCCAGTATTTGGTAATTATTTTGAGTCTGAATAATCCGGAATTAAGTTCTGTCGGATCTTTATAAAAGTAAACTCTCTTAAATCTGTTTTCTCTATTCACGATATTCAAAATTGAGATTTTTCTTAAAGAAACCGAAATCGTTATCAAAAGGCGTTGAAATTTGAATAGAATATAAAAAAACAGATAAAGTAATCAAAAGCTGGAAGAGAAATAATCACACCAAAGAAGATCCAAAGTACCCAAAAGTGAGACTGGAAATGCTTTTTGAATTCTGGAATCCTATTTCAGTTTAGTGTTCTCTCTTTCACCCCAAAAAAGCAAAGTGCTCTCTCCCTCCTCTCCACATTATTTACCCCAAAGCATCATACACACATGAAGTTTCACTTTTTCTTTCCATCCTAGTTTCCTATAGTACATTTCATATCCTAAACCTTCGCAGTCTGCTACAGTACCAAAATAGAAACAGAAGTTTGTGAGCATCTAGTTCAATTTTCATGGTCATGGGAGCTATGGAAGCAAGGTTACAGGATCATTTTGTAACGGTAGTTGAGGCACCACCTGCAGTGAGGGAACCAAGAAACTCTGATTGTAGTGCTAGCTGTGATCACTATTATAGGTGTTATTGCAGGGATCATTGCTCGGCTATGTGGTGGAAGGCATTTTGGTGGAAATGGGGAGAATGACATTGAAGGATGGATAGAAAAGTTGTGTAGAAGTTGCATTGATGGGGGAGTCCCTTCTGCAGCTCCACCTTCCCCAGAAGAATCAAAGCCAGCTACAGAAGAGGAAAAGAAATGAAAGATGCACACACAGTTGAGATGCTTTGATGCAAATGTAAGTGATTATTGATTAGTTCAAATTGTATATTGTGGAGATACAAATGCTCTACCACAAAAGCATCAATGACATGTATCAGTAGCAAAATTATTTCTTCTTTTTCTCAGGAACAACATTTTTCATCTATGCTATATGTTGGGAACTTTAGGATAATTTTTAGGCCAGAAATCATGCATGCTTTTCTACCATTTCTACAGGTGTCAAAGCAGTGCAACAGCTAGCCACGAAGGAGTCTACCACCTGAAAAGGCAAATACACTAATTACAGGGCCCAGATTTTGAATTTAAACTCAAATGTTGCTTTTCCAAAAGCTAATATTTCACTACATTTTATAAGGTGCATAAATCTTAAAAGTCTTATGAAAACTTAACGTTGCTAGTTAGTTCTTTTTCAGAAAGATAAAATATGGTACTAAAAGCATCATGTAAAACATGTTCATCTGACTACGCAAGGTCCAAGCTTGATTGATCATGGACAAATGACAAGCTTTAGCAGTCTGTCATCTTTTATGCTTTACTTTCATTGATACGTTTAATCATAGCTTTACGATTTACGGTCATCCCACAAGTGAGTACTTCGCATACCTGGAAATTTATTTTTCTACTCAGATCATCCTCTTTCTCGTTTCTAAAATTGAGATCGGATAAGATGACCAGAGCACCTAGCTCTTTAAGGCTTTATATTCAACCATGCCTCTGAAGGTTTGCCAACTCCAGAGAGACAGATTATTAATTATGCCACAGCTCTGCACGTTCAAGAGACTTCTCTGCTTTTATCTTTAACCAACATTGGCACAAAACCTGATAATCGGTTTTCATTTCATTTTTAAACTTTCACAATTCACCATCTGATAATGGAATGCAAAACGAAATTGTTAAGTAGATTAAAAAATGCTTTCCAACAGTGGTGCGCCCATCTGTTAGTACTACTACACAATATTAGAATACATTTCCATGTCTCTATGGTGATTGTATTCTATACAATAAGAGTCCTAAACAAAGCGCTTGTTACCCTCTTCAAATCCTTTTAATATGCAACCAAACTTGGTTTCTAGTTTCTACTAAATACCAATATTACTTGCCTGCTATACAGGAACTTGTTAGTGTACATACCCACACAAAAATTGTTCTAGTTCTTGTTCTAGTTCTAGTTCGAGTTTCTAACTTCCAAAAAAAATTAATATCATGAATGATTTTTAAACTATAATAAAATATTCAATGTATTATCTGAATTTTAAAAATCTCTAACATGATATCTGAATTATGAATTTATTAATTAATGTGGTACTCTCCTATAATATGATTAGCTTCAAATAATGATACATGATAAACAAACAATCCTACAAGTTCTACTTTAGTTAACAAATTCTTAGTTTAGATATCACATCAAATACTTTACTATAATTTAGGATCATTCATGATATTAACCATTTCAAGAAAGAAATAATTATAATTAGTCTTTTTTTTTTTTTTTTGGTAAAAGGAGAACTGGGATTCAGGTTGTGGTTTACATAAGAAGAATTAAGGCTGTAAATGAACCAAGTCGAGTATCTCTATTTAATGAAGAATATTTGCAGTCTTTATGACAGGAAGCCAATGGAAAACCGATAAATTTTCTGCGTATAAATCGGCTTTGATGTGAAGGGATTCACGCTGTAAAGTTTAAACTAGTCTCAGTTACTGCAAGAATATAGGAATTTAATTTTATTAATAAGGCAAACACACAGGTTTTACAACAACGTTATTACAGTGTATCCTACATCAAATTAACAAACTGCCTCATCTATTTCCAAATAAATAAGAGGCGGTTTCATTATTCTTTAATAGAGACTAATTCACAGAGTCAGCCTAGCCATTGTAATGAGAAGCAATCTCTGTAAGTTTCTAAGTGAGTCCTCCAAGCAGTTCTAATCCCTGATAAACCTGAAATAACACCAAGAAATAATTTACCAAATCATAAGACAGCAAAAAGAAGCATCTTAAACAAATAAAGTGATTGTCTCACCCCCAAAGTGATTTCTTCACTCTAACAAATAATCTGGATAGTGTTATTAACATCCATTTGTATTTGTAGTATGTTTTACATGTCAAGGCCAATCTCCTAACTGATATCCATTCCTCTCGAGGTCGAGGGCATTGACGGAAAACAGTTTCCCCTTCACTCAATTTGACATTGTTGCAGATAGCTTAGGCAGTTCTATCTTCTTGTTCCTGTAAGTTGACATTTTGTAGCACAACCCCTTGGCAAGGATGACTCTTACTGCAGTCAAATTTTATTGCCACTTCAGAAGCACTAGTCCTTTTGATGTTCTTGTACACCACATTTTCTCCTGAACTGCAGAGCTCTGCACAAATTGAACAAATCGAATTCTTCTGATTAGAACTAGCAATAGATTACTCTTTTGCATAAATAAACAAACAGTTAATTGCACTTTGATCACCTGTTCTTTGCATGGTTTGTCTTGATCACAGTAGTTTTGATCTATGATGATGGGGTTGCTCACATTATACATTTCAATGTTTTGAAATTTGATGTTGCCTGCATTTCCTGACCCTTCCTGGAGATCATTAATTATAGATGGATGTTAATGTCAGCTGAGTAATTAAAGGATCCTGAATTCACATCATGTATATTATTGACAGGGCTGCATTTGCCTGCCATGTCTTGATCCTAACTCCATTTGTGGTTCCAGAAAGTTTAGCTCCATCAACAGTCACACCAGAAACATAAGCCTTTGAATTCCCAGATCCCAAGCTCCCAATGCTGCCTTCCATCAACACAAACAGATAGATCAAAACTATGGGATCAATATTGATGACTGATTTAATCAATGTTTTT